TTGATTCGTAGTTGAGGATAGATGTAGAGTCTACGGGTCACAGCTTCTACTTACCATTAGGTGGTCAGCGTGCTCTTTTGTCACCTTTATTCTACAAAAAAATCCAATAAAATGCTTATAAGTTAAAATCAGTAAAATGTTCAAAGTTTCGGGTATACCATAGAGTATTATTAAGTAAAATTTGGAAAATCCAAAAGTGCACGCCTCATAATCTCATTTGATTACATAAAAAAAATATCTCTTTTTCCATATTTGAGACGAAAGAAGAGATCAATGAGAATATTTTTTTTTTGTTATAAAATACCAGTTGTTTTTTACATTTTCATTAATTACAATTAAACGAGACCAAATAACTCAGTGATTTTCAAAAGGAACCCCTGTACGTCGAGATTCTAAACCTAATAGAAAAAGAATTATTTTGATACATTAATTCTAACGACCGTAATAGTGCACCATCCACACATACGAGTACAGACATCCGGACTGTCAGTTTGTTTTTACACTAAATACAGAGAATTACTTTTAAAAATAATAGAAACACGAAAACATGTATTTTAATTATAGAAATATATGTATTTTTATTAGTCTAAAAGTGCAATAGTAAAAAAATAAAGACATTTTTAGCTCCGAAAATTACCGGATTTCCATTAGGTGAGAGTGAGAGTAGACCACAACCTCAACGCTTCGCTTATGAGGCGTGCAATAAACAGGAAGGACATACTCAAAAAATTATTTGTACCCAATTAGGTCTAACGATCCGTCTTGCCTCGATGTGTAAGTACATTGAATTGACCATTAATCAGTTATTTCGCTTTTTGTGCTCCCTGAAGCTGTCAAATTACCAAAATAAGAAAACTAAATTTATCATAAATTATACACTTACAAAATAATAAGATTTATTTTGGTTTTACTAACCACAAGAAATTAATTTTGAAATTAAAATATTCTAGCCTCCTTTACAACCTTTTAAGTCCACTCTTTTCCAGAAGTTAGCATTTGCATTTTCCAAATAAATGCCCAAAAAACTTGAAGGAAAGTCATTGGTGAAATAAATTTGTTGTTTGTAAATTCGTATTGATGTCTTGAGAGCTTTTGAAAACCTTTGGTTTAGGATCTGAAAGGATTAAGGATAAGGGTATATGTTGCTTACGAAATATTTCAAAATTAGCTAATAATAATAATGTTCTTCAGATCGAATTTCGGTGACGGCGGCCGGTCTCAGTGGAGACTAGCCATTTGCGCAGGACAGGATTATATAGTGCCTGAGTGTTTGAGTGAATACAAGTGCACTCTCTATTCTCTCACTCTCATAGTTCGTCCGGTGGGTCTGTAATCCGGCACGACCGGAGAGAGATCAGGCATAGGACTAACGTGATTTCCAGGGCGCATGGGTGAAACACTGCCAACTTCCTGACTCGGTGCTACTGAGAATTTCAAAGAACCCAATAACTATTTTTGTCCAACCTGGGATTCGAACCCGGGACCTCATGATTAACAATCGCGTTTCCGACCAATAGAACTTCGAGGCAGTCAAAAATAGCTATGATAGTACTAATGGAGTATAGAGTTCGTTTTTGCAGGTTTTTGTATACAAGAACTCGTAAGTATTATATTATTATACCCTTGTATAAGGAGACAAGCTTAATTACAATATCAAGAACACGACGACTATCACAATACCGTTACCGTTACAGCCAATTTAAGTCATACATATCACATAGGCCTCCCCAATAGATTGTCTTATAGGGGGATATTTGCCATAGTTTCCACCATATAATACTATAACACATACATAATAGACTGGGGGGGCAGAACCGGTGTAGCCACTAAACTGTCACTAACATGTCAATCCACACGTATAAATGTCAACACGAGAAGTGTTTTGCCGTAACAATCGTTTCCAAATTTCGCATGCAAATTATTTAGAAAATACCATATTGCGAACTATTAACAAATAAATATGTATTAAAATTTAAACGATTTTTTAATGATTATTTTGAACATTAATCAAAAGTCTAAAATGTGTAAATTTACTCAGTGTGTCAAAACAGCGAATCGGGTTTGTAGTAGTGATAATACGACGTAATTGCTTGTATGTGTGCTCCCGGCAACGCCGAATCTCGTACAAAATAAGTTTGACAGCCATTCTATTGTGTATTGTAGTATTTTGTGGTTTCCACACTTGACAAGTGGGTTGGCAACCACAGTTTTTTTATTTTAGGTCTTTATTAGGAAGACGCTGCTGCCCATCTCCTAGCGACGGAGGCCCTCTGTCGCCTCTTACGACTCCCACGGCGATCATATGGGGTAGTGGTAATTCTTACACCGTCACCACACGGCATCACAATACATCTAAGTATTGTGTCACAAGGATGTCAGTTTTTAGTTTTGTTGCGAATATCGAGGGTAATTAGTGTCTTTGAAAAAAATCCCGAGCGTAGCGATAGATGGAAAATCTACTAAATATGAGAGCGGCTGTTTCTCATTGCAATGAACTAATTGATGACGATAGTTATTATGATTAATAAAATATAATGCGTCACCGTAATCTGCAGCCCGTAACGGTGAACGACTTATCAACGCTTGACTACGAGGGTGTTATACATCTATACTTCAGAGGCTATGAGATCTTACTGACATTCTTATAGTCGTCTTGCCCACGGGGCTAAATACAGTGAACCCCCGGTAATCCTGGCCCCTGTCTAATACGGCACCCTCTATAATCTGACATGGTATATTATTTATTATTGAATTATTTTTGACAATTTTACTGACGCATGATTGAACAAGTTATAACTTGTACGCACCACCACTATTGTGCTCGACGCGTAGGGTATTGTTGTTTTGATTCTGATTGCTTAGTTTGAATTTGACTACATGTAATGAGGATAGCGGTGCGGCCTAGCGTGTATTCAGAGAAGAGTACAAATATAATAAATTACCATTGGATCTGTAATTTGTCGGATTACAAGGTACTCTTTGGTAAAAAATTCCGGACTAGTCCGGATTGTCTTAGGCAGTACTCTATAATCCGACAAATTCTATAGTCCGATACTGCACTGCAAAATGTTTGTCGGATTACTGGGGGTCCACTGTTAAGTGATACATTATCTAGCCCTGTTTCCATAATCAATACACGACATGATGCTAATCTTCGAAGATAACACCTAACGGTAGTAATGGGATGATAGATACTACTGTTGCAGTCGAAGTCTCTCGCCCATAAAATTGCTACACTCATAATATAATATAGTACTAAGTATTTAGATCAGTAAGTCAAGTATCTAGGATTACTACCTATTACGTAGAAGTTGCTATAAATATCCAGTTCAGTAACCTCTAACAAAGCGAAAGGTAGGCACACTTCATGTAAGAAGCTTCGCGTGAATATCTTTAGCAATTATTAATCTACTATGTCCTTTTCTAAAGGAAGATCCTTGATGTTAGTGCTTTCACGAAATGCGTAGTATCTTAAGGGCGTTTTTCGCGGGCGTTTTGAGGGACAAAGGCCGGGTCACTGGGTCGCGCGCGCAGCCTCCCAAGCTCTGGGTGACGCGCCTTTATCGACCGACTGGCGTCTCGAATTAGGGTTGCCAGAAACGTAGTTTAACATTATTATATTTGTTATCGTTACCAATATTTCTTTTAAGTCAATTTTGTTTCTTACACTTATATGTACGGTCTGATTTTATGTCATGCAGGCACTATGGGAATATGGATACCGCATGATAAATATTTAAATTATTCTTTACAAAGTAATTATTTTCCCTCCAGAATTTTGCTACTACTTATAATTTTTGATTTTTTCAATCTATATTGATTTTTTAATACTGCTCGAATTATAAGCACCCTTAACGCCAACCATGGCGCGTGCATGTCTTTATAACACCCATGCATTGGGGCCATCTATTGGACTCGACCCTTTCGTTGGCATCAAAGACGTAATTTCAACAAATAACGTCCCCCATTGCTGTTTACGAGTGCAATTTATGTGAAATAGGGTGTTTTCGGGAGGGTTAGTGCCGCCCCTGTTTTTCGTGTCCTTCAACGCGCAGCATCCGCAACTGCGCAACTCTCGACGCACTCAAGTTGGAGGCACGGTCTTGACGCCGCTTCTTCGTACTTCCGGAGCTATTTTACCTGAAAAAGCTCCTTACCGATCGCATTCCCGCCCTTACCTACATCTTTAACCCGCTTTACCTCGCTATGCTCTCGCGAACTCCCTTTTAACCTTCCCTAACTGTGAGTAAAGTGCTAGTGATGGGGAAAGACAAGCATCCAATGGAGACCGAGGTGAAGGTGGCCACTGTGGACCTGGAAGCCGTGGATAACATGGCAACTCTTCCTGTAGGTCAACATCGTCAGCAAGGTAGCGATATCGCGATCGCTGAAAAACATAACACCACTAACAAAGAGATGGAGTTAAAATGTGTTCAGCCAAAGCCCTCGAAGAAGTATGTTGAATATTTTGATCAATTTTCTTTTCGGTGTATCAGTGTGAAATAACTTAGTAAAACTATTTTTAAGGTATCTGTCGCGTTTATTTTAACTTATTTGAAATTTCCGTCGTGTAAGTTGAGAAATGCAAAAATCCGTAATACTATTTTTACGGATTTAATTCAATACTATTCGCGTTATTTTGAATTTTGTCGAAAACTTTTTTAAATGTGTCTTGAATGAATGAATGTATGTTTGTCAATTTTGTATAAGACCAAGTTATTTATTTATTAATTTGTTTCTTTTTTATTTATAAACTTGAAGTACCTATACGGTATACTCGAAATAGGCGTATTTAATTATTGAGGATTATTCTATAAGTCGAGCTTATGACAACGTAGAAAGGCAGGTATTTTTTGCCTATGGTTCGTTAATAAGGTGTATACATGATATAAAAACACTAATTTTCTTGTTCTTTGTACTCAAAAATAACAAAATTATTTTAAGTTTAATTTACCTACTGCGGTTTTAAATATGTTGAAGTTTATTTCTTTTTGTTTCAGAACCTCATTATTTATAATTTCAAGTTTCATTTACGCGAAGCTTCTGGTTGTGGTTTGCATTGCCTATGTCATCAGTGATGTTATTACCCACAACCTGCCACTTTACTACTACGAAGGTTTCTTCACCTACCTATATGGCATGAGCATATTATTCTTGCTGTACGTCTTCTGTTTCCTACTACAAGGTGAGTAAATTTATTGTCTGCGCATTGTTAAATGAATCACCATTTGAAAAAAATATTTTTTTACTTGTTTCTATAGAAAGTGCATGCTGTAACGGTAGTCCACCGAAACCAAAACCTCCACCAAAAGAGAAGAAACCCAAGAAAGAAAAAGAAAAGAAGACCAAAGATAAAGAAAGCAAAGATGGAAAAGAGGGGAAAAAAGACGGTAAAAAAGAAGGTAAATCAAAGGACAAGGATAAAGATAAGGAAAGCGGAAAGGATAAAGCGAACAAAGAAAGCAAGAAACAAAGCCAATTTCAGGTTAGTGATTTTTTTATTTTACACAATATCACCAGCACATAGGAATTTTATTTTTAACCTTTTGTCATCCATTATTCGCTTCCCATCGTAATGTTGTGTTCCTTAACAACTCAATTCTATCAGTATAAAAAATAAGCAATTATATTCCCATGTTTATCATTTTTACGTTTTTTTAGCTTCTCACAAAAATAAATTATATAAAGCGCTTTGTTAGGACGTGTCTGGCCGCATGATCCCTTTTCTGTTTACGCTGGCTACTTTTTTGTTTTTCCATATCATTTGGGCAGGAGGTGTATCCCCGTAAGATGCGTGATAAAGTTCGTCAACAACAATTACAAATGCAAATGGCTCAATTGTATGCGTCCGAACAGGTGAGGCATATTATGAAATGACGCATCCTGCTTGACCAAACTACCATTACCAAGCTTTGGATGTGCTGCATTTAGTTCATTTAGTTGCCGATCATTACGCTTGTGTTTTGTTCCCCCGCTACTTTATTCCCCCTTGCTTCTTCGAACTAAGACTGAAGACGATGCTTTTCTAGTAGAAACAGTTTTCTGAGCGTCCAATTAATAACATCAAACCTATATTCCTAAAATGACACTAATTTTGCTCCGAATGTTGAAAACTTTATTTATTGAATAATATTTTATTATTCTTTTATATTAGTTTACTAATAATCTTGATTGAATTTATGGTTTGTAAATTTTTATTAAAAAATTGTGATACGAGGCTTTACACCAATTTCTTGGTCTAAATTTGGGGTCTGAGATTTCATTTTATTTTTCAGCAACAAGATGTGGTGGAGCTGGAAGCGGGGCCTGTGGCAAGGCCAATGCGCCGGCGAAAAACTTCACAGAATGATCACAGTCACGGTAGCTTCTTCTTAAGAATAGGCGCAATTGGTAATTTAATACTTTACTTGTTTCTAATAAAATTGTAAACATTTAAATTTAAATATTTTCATAAATCGTATTTCGTTTTATGAAAAATAATTATTACATTAAGTGTACTTAAACTTATTATTATAACACAATTATTGAAACATTATTCCACCAGTTTTTTCTCAATTTTTTCCCAATATTTTGCTTTATTTGTGACAACATCAAAACCTTTAATTTTATAAAACGATAATAAAAAAGTAGCCTACCGACGTTTCACATGTTAATACTCATTTTATAATATTAGTATGACTGCCTCGTTGGTCTAGTGGTTGTAGTAGTGCGATTGCAGATCATGGGGCTCAGGGTTTGAATCCCGGGTCGGACCAAAAATCAATTATTGACTTTTTCCGTCAAAAAATTCTCAGTAGCTGACTGAAGTCAGGAAGTTGGCGGTCACCCCCGTGCCTCGAAAGGCATGTAAGGCCGTTGGTCCTGCGCCTGATCTCTCTCCGGTCGTGTCGGTTTACCGTCCCATCGGATTATGAGAGTGAGGGAATAGAGAGTGCACCTGTGCTTACGCATACACTTGAGCACTATAATCCTGTCCTGCGCCGATGGCTAGTTTCTGTTGAGGGTGGCCGCCGTGACCGAAATTCGGTGTGGAGGACATTATTATAATAAGTCTATGATATATCGAAAATTGACGTCGAAACTTTATTTTCTTGATTTATTATTACTACACCTCTATATTTCTCATGTGTTATATTATTAAAATATATTATTATTTTGTTGATTACAGCCTTCGGCCTAGGAACCATGATTTATAACGGCTTGGAGTTTGGAACATTTTTTGAATTACCATTAGATTCACCTTGTTACCTCATCCTTAAAGGGATCAATCCAGTATTGCAGATGGTTTTTACATTTATGCAAATGTATTTTATTTTCATGAATTCGCGAGTAAGTATATATATTTAAGAGTGTCAAAGCAATGTAATGGTAAAAGCAATATATAATACAACAATGGGCATTCTTCTTACAGTTGAATATTCACCGCTTCAAGGTAATCGCTCGGTTCGGTTTAATGCACGTCGTTGCTACCAACATTTGTGTTTGGATTCGCACTCTTGTACTAGAATCTCTAAAAGAGATTACTGACTACCATGTCAAGAACCCTCACGGTATTCCTGGGGAAGGCATACTTGGAAGTAAGTATATTCAAACTTTGGATTTTTTTTCTATCGAGAAAATTTTACGGAATCATGTTTTCGTCTAACATAGTACTTAACATTAATCCTCAACTTTACTATATATTTATTTCAAAATTAATGCTGCAATATTTTCGGTATAACGGAGGATCTTGCTAAGCCATTTGAGGTTATATTCCCCCTTAAGCTGCTATTTTATGTGGTATTCTGTGAAAGCGTGGTTCTCTCCACGGTCGAGCCGATCCATTCGTGCTACTACCATAATATAGTCGCAGCGTGGCTCTACCACGTATAAATATATTCGTATATATACCTTATGAGTATGGTAAACACAGCTACAAACGAAAGCTATAAGATATTTTGGGTATTTCCGTAAGTGACCTCTTGCGTCATCTATAGGATAGAGATAATGGAGGTTCTTACACATCGCAAGTTGGTATACGTCATCACATGGTAAGTTGTTTAATAACTTTAAATTATTATTAATGTATTTATGTTTAGAAGTCATCCGAAAGCACACCTTAAGACATTCTGGTAAAGTATTTGGTGCAGCGACAACAGTTGCGTCCACAGCTGTTTCCATGGCTAAGAGTTCTAGTGATCAGATACTGGGCATCGTTACAACTGCTAATCCTACCACGACTTCACCTGCCAGTAAGTGTCTAGAAATATATTTATTTATTAATGTTACCACATTTCTGGTGTTTCTAATAGTGTATTTATAATATTATCATCACTATCTATAATAACTATTAACACGTTTAGTTTGCATGTATGTGTGATCTTAACGCATTATTCAAACAAAAATTTCAGCGACCAATCCTTCACCATATTATAATGCCGGTGGTGGGTTTATGCCGCAATCGAAAATAATCGACACTTTAAAAAGCACAGTAGGTTACGGAAACGATATGGGCTATGGTCACGGGTCTAAAGAATCATGGCCTAATGATAACCCATTCATCACAACATCCACTACCGCACCAATAACGTCGCAGAACGGAAAAGTGACTCAGACTCAAACGGCCATGTTGGAAGTTTTCCAATGGCTTTACACTTCAACCTTGAAACCAATAGTTAGCACCATGACAACAATGGTCGCTTCCACACCTGGATCTTACGTAACTGACAAAGATGAATGGGGCAATAGTATTCAAAAATATCGCGTTGATGAACCACCTCATGTGCCAGGTTTGTCGTTGGAGTGTTCTGCCATCACGTTTTGTTCGCCACCGTTGCACAGTTTATTTGCGATTATGTTATGTTTCATTAGTGGATTGCACATGCAACGTCTTAAGTTTATCGTATATTGTCGTGCCGCATGTGCCGTCTTTAATTTAGCCCTTACTTCCGTTTTTATTAACATTTAATAAATGTTGAATATGTAATCATACTATTTTAAAATATTTTCTATTTCTCAGCTAACAACTCAACGGAAGTCTTCGAGTCTTTCGACACTTTGAACCCAGCTGCCTTGATCGCCAATATTGATAACTCAACAGTATGTGGCAGGAATCCTATCATGGGTACCATTGTCACCGATTCTGCTCCGTATCTTTACCCATTTATTATTGAATATTCACTTATTGGAGCAGCTGTTATTTATGTCATGTGGAAACATATCGGGAGATACCCAAGGTAAAAATTGTGTGTTTATATTTTCATGTTTCATATGTATTTCAACTTCAGTAGCGATGCAACCAATAGCATTTCATCCTTACACTATCAGTATGTAAATTAAAAAAATCTTGTTATTATTTTGTAAATCTATAAATAAAATATTTTAGACATAAAAAGTACAATCATCAATAACAAAAAAACGTAGTATACCGATTATAAAAAGCACACCTCGCGTATAATGACGTGTACACGCGCATTTGGTTGCAGCGTGGCGAACGATGAAGATCTGGAAAGACGTCTGGAAGCTGTTCTCTCCCGCAGGGCAGCGGCTTTAGCGGCCGCTCAACGAGGAAATCGTGTGGATTGTGCAGGCGCATCCAAAGGCCTTTTCTGTGGATTGCTGCTTTTAGTCGCATCCCTGATCTGCTTGATTCTCTTCTTCGTCTTGATCAGACATCAGGAACTAAAACGGCTATCGATTTACCTGGCCGATGTATCACACTGCGCGCTTATGATCCTATCCATTTTGGCAATTTTGATTGGATTTATACGGTAAGCAATAAAAATTGTTACGTAAAATAATTTTTATTTTGTTTTTTTTTTGTTTTTGTAATTTTTATCTATATTAATTTTTATTGATCGCTTTATCCTTTTCCCTATACCCGCCTGTTTGCTCCAATTCTTTTTTCAAATACTTTCGTTTGCACATTTAACACGGTGCCTTTCCTAAAATTCTCAAAACGTTATTTGATACACTGGCTGTTTCCTTCATCCTTCATTTATTTTTTTAAACTAAAAATTTTTCATTTTTAACCTTTTTCGGTCGGCCTATTTGATTGCCATTACTTCAAATTAAATATTTTGTTACTTATGTTAATTCCCCTATTTAAATATCATATGTCCCTTTAAACGTGATTCTTTATTAATATTTTTTTCTGTTACCGTTTTGGTTTTTTTTTCTACAAAATTATAAGTGTTCGTAAACTAAAATGGAGCGCCAATCCTCCTTCCTACACCGAGCCACTTCGCAGGGTGCAATCTCTGAAGTTCCGCTCTGAAGAACAATCCGACTTGAATGACATCTTGCTCCGTGTTTCTGCCTTTGGACTCTTCTTGTATGCCGTGTTCAGCGTCATCGCTGGCGGAATGGGCGCCTTCACTCACGAACCAAACCTGCTCGTGATGATTACTGGATGTCTGAGCGTACTTCAGGTAAGTTAATCATTAGATAAATTTTGAATTGTTAATTTTTGATTCTTTATTGATTTGCAGGATTTTTGATGCAATTATTTCGATCATTTTATACTTATACACGTTGATATTGTTCTCTAGACTACGTTTGACCACAGTGATGAATTCTGTATAATATTTTTAACTTTGAACTGCTCGATAGATATTATAAAGTATCACAAGTGTGATTTGCAGTCCAACTTAACCTAAGCTAATTAGTGCTCTCATACAATAATTTTGGAAGTAGGGTAGAATGCAGTATTTAAGAGACAGTGACAATGACTGCAAAATCGGAACAGAAAATCAAAAGTTCCGGTTCTTAATTAAACTCCAACTTTTAATTAAACTCCAACTCGAATCAACTATACTGAATCAACCCAGGACAACAGTATTTCCAGAACGAGAGTCCAACGTCCAATCCGCTTTCTTACTTTGGTGAAAATGAAAAGGGGAAATTATTTAGAGAAATGCATGCCTTCTGGCGCATACGTAAGCATGCCTTTGTCCAACTGTGAACTTAATGAAGATAAACTATTTTTCAACCTTACCTCTATTTGCTTCAAATCTATTATCATTAGTTAAATAATGCTTAATTAGAAAATTAACAATTCCAGGTCATCCTTCAACTGCTGTTCATAGCGGATGTTTCCCGTCGCCGTGTGCACTTACCCGAGCAGGAGCGTAGCAAGCCTGCACGTCAAGCCGTTACCTTCCTTCTCATCTGCAACGTTACCATGTGGCTTATTTACACCTTCGAGGCACAGAAAGTTTTGGCTAACCCGGTGAATATGCTTACAATTTGGTTAACTGTTTCCTCTCTTTCTCCACGCTTATCAACCAGTTAATAATTTACGGTTGAACACGGGCTTCTTTCATAAGAGTAATTGCCATAGAGGTGATATGTGTGAACTTAGTGCCACATGGCGTTAAAGAACTTCTGGACAGATTCTGTTCCCATCTCCCTCTGGTGTTTCGTAAAAGTGAACTAAGGATAACTATAGAAATATCTTATGCCGCTCAAACACGTAAATATGGTAGTAAACGCAATCTAATATACTGAATGACCTTTTTTACCGCCTGGAAAAAAGGGTGTAACATGTGAACGGAGAAGTAGCCTATGGCACTGATATTTTACAAAAAATAAAAACAAAAATTTTGAATTAAATAAATAAATTAAAATCTATGGAAATTCAAATCATATCCACCCTAGCCTGTGATCCTGCGAAGTGATAAGGTCAAAGATTTCTACAAAATTTATTGTTTTATTGCCGTTCGTAAAATAGGATGGACATGATTTGAATTTTTATAGATTTTAATTTATTAAAAACTGCTTTTACGGATGCTATCGCGTTTAATTTTACTTTTAATTATTTTTATTTTTATTTCCCGACGTTTCGGGTGCTTTCCAGCACCCATGGTCACGGGGGACTGAGGTGACTGACGTCCCGATGTCAAAGTTAACACGGAGTACCTTCAGCTTTTTAATTATTGTCTTTGCACCGATCTTCGCAGAATGAACTAACTGTGTTTTGGAAGTCTTGCAGTGGTATGCTTGGGTTTAGTTTTAATTTTATTAATTATAGGGTCCCAAGCAGGTGGTAGTACCCAGCCTCCTTCTCTATTGAAATTAGGATGTTTTTTTAATTTCAATAGCCTCACGTATCATCCTTGGTAGGAATCGATGTTCTTTTGCGAAGATTTGTGGTCCATCAAATCTGATGTAATGGTGGGGACGATCTTGAACATGTTCACAGACTGCGTAAATTTAGTTTTATTCAATTTTGAAAGCAATAAAATAATTATTGTAAAAATAATTACGGTGAAAGTCTGTGCAATAAAAAAATTATAAAAAGTCCTTTAAGACTTCAAGATACTGTAAGTTCGTTTTGCGTAAATCGGACCAAAAATTAATATTCAAAAACTGAAGGTAGCCGGGCTAACAATGACATTGGGACGTCAAACATCTCAGTCCCCCCCCGTGACCATGGGTGCTGTAAAGCACCCGAAACGTCGGGAATTAAAAATAAGTAAAATCAGTTAAATAAACGCGATAGAATCCTTAAATTTAGTTTTATTCAATGTGTGGTGTTCGCGTAAATTTAAGAAATCATTATGCTTCCAAGATTTTTATTTTCAAAATCACTCTCAAGTCTCAACGTATTTTACGACGCTTTATCATACCCTGTAGCTACTCGAGCGCTTTGTGGAGAGTTTCTGAACTGTTATTTACTGCTTACAGATGGAAACATTTTCAACTATTCTCCTATGGGAGATTGTGCTCCTTACCTCCATACTCAATGGTTCTCTCCAACTTCGCCCGCGTGTAATTTATTACGATTGGATTTCATTGAATTTAATAATTTTTGCGCCGAACCTTAATTATTTTTCTAAAATAACAGTAGCCTAATTAACTACTTATAACATTAGCTATCTGCCAATGAAAGTCCCGTCAAAATATATCCAGCTCTTTCGGAGATTAGCCGAAACAGACATACAGATAAACAAAAATTTTAAAAATTGTATTTTTCTTATGATTACCGTATACACTTTCATATGCATTTAATAAAAGGGAAAGTGACTGACTCATCTACCAACGCACAGCTCAAACCGCTTAATTGTATAATGTAGAAATCTAAAATTTGGACAGTTGCCTTTTATGACGTAGGCATCCACTATAGGAAAGGATTTTTGAAAATCCAACCCCTAAGAGGGTGAAATAGAGTGTTGCAGTTTGTATGAAACTTTTTATTTTAAAGGGCAATTGACTCGAAACTTATTGAAAGTACTCTTATAAGATAAATGAATACGGTATTTTCGAATTTTCAAAATAATTCCTTATGGAGGGGCCAAAGGATGATCAAATTTGTATGGGGAAAAATAATTAGTGGTCTTATTTAATTTATAAACTGGGGAAAATACTCTTGATTCTAAATAATAAAATATCCATTTATTAGTTTAAAAAAATACCTATGAACTTTTAAAACAAGGGTGAAAAGTTTGTATGATAAATATTTTATTAAGGCACCCAGCCCAAAACCACTGGACGTAGAAGCTATAAATTGAGACAACAGCTTCCTTATGAAGCTATCCAAAGGCATCCACTAATAAAGAATTTTGGAAAGTTATGATTTGTATGAATCTTTTTATTGAAAGTATTCTTTATATAAAATAAATGATGATATGCGATTTTTCAAAACAACTCCTTACGGAGTGGCTAAAGAAAAAATTCTATTCAGAAAAAATTCTATTCAGAAAAAATATTTAATGGCCTCTTTTAATTTATAAATGCCCATGCCCTAAAACCCTCTCAGAAATGAGAGGCCTGTGCCCAGCAGTGGGACGTATATATACTTCCATACCATAGCTTCCTTTTATTAATAAATACCCACCAAGTATTTTGGAAAATTCAACCCTTAGAGGGTGAAATAGGGTGTATGTGAAATATGTGTAATGTGAAATAATGTGAAATATGTGTAATTTGTATGAAACTTTTTAATGACTCGAAACTTACCGAAAGTACTCTGTTAATAAAGTAAACGAGTACGTATTTTTCGAATTTTCAAACCACCCCTTAGAGAGCCAAAGGGTAATTCAAATTTGTATAGAAAAAAACTAAACTTTCATTTGACTAAAAAATGGGCAAATTCTCTTGAATAAAAGTAAAAAATATCCATTTTTGGGTGCAGTTTGTATGTAAAATATTATTATAAGACACACAGTCCAAACCACTAATAAGAAATAGAAGCGTGAAATTGGGAAAATAGATTCAGACAGCCGTCCATTAAGAAAGGTTTTTCAAAACTCAAACCCTTTAGTGAGTTAAGTTGGGTGTTACATTTTTAACGATACTCTTTATTTTACGGGACGATTTCATATTTGTATGGAGAAAGATTATTAAACGACTAATTACATACTTGAAAATTGGTTCAAATACTTTTGGTTAAAATGATTAAGTACGATTTTTTTATTTCCGAAAATCTAACATTAACCTTTTATTTGGTAGATATTTTTTTTCTTATTTTATTGTTTTTCGCTCAATCAGGGTGTTTAATTAGTTAAATAAAAGGTGAATAAAATATTAAAAAAATCTTTTGCTTTTAGATATTTTTTATTGAATGTATCCCACAGTGCACACTGCCAGGTAAGCAACAATTTACATTATAAAAAGCGGGTACGTATCCTGACACATACAGTGCAAGGTTTACATTGTAAAAAAAATAGATTCTAATTGTAATCTTCTACCAAACAATCTTATCCCATCAAAAACATAACTTGTAAAAAAAACCAAGTCCCGCAACTCAATTCTTCTACCGTAAAAAGTTGTGAGATCCATGTAATACCAAGTCGGTTAATTTATTCAGTTCCTACTTAACGGTCCTTCTGTTTTTAGTTACTATGTAATTAGCTAATCTAACAACATTTTATAGCGACCATATCAATGTTAAAAATCTTTTATGTTTTAAATGTATAGATTGACTTGGCCATCACTGAACAGAACAGAACACTGAACAGCAACACAATCGCAAGGGTGAAAACTGGCAGCGATCACCGAATGGATAGAGGCACACTGAACCTAAACGTTAAGTTGGAGTTGCGTTGACTTCATCTCGTCTAATGAAGTCAACGCTCCGTGCCCTTCGTGCTCTAATCCAAAATCCCGAAACCTTTCAGCTCGAGTTACAAAACCGCTTTCAGTGCCTAGAAGATTGCAATGCAATGGATGATATGAATGACAAGCTGGTGAAAACTGTCCATGCGGTCGGAGCTAAATTCTGCAAGACCCGCCGCAGAAGAACACAAACACTCTCCGATCACACTATTAATCTCAGGGCTGTTAGACGGGAGATGAGGCTGCAATCGTCAACAGATTTGACAGCATACAGGCAACTGAACAGACAGATCTCCAAATGCATGCGGCAGGACTTACGCAACTTCAATACAGCTCGTATTTAAGAAGCGATTGAGCGGAGCCAAGGCTCCAAGGTCTTTGCCAGAGATCTGTCTGCCGGAAAGAGCCAACTGTCAAAGCTGAAGATTGAGTGTGGCAGCATCGTTTCCAGGACACCTGAGATTTTGAGTAAGATTGAAAGGTTCTACCGGCAGCTGTACACATCATCGTTGGAACCACACGCAAGTGTGAGTAACGATCCAAGAGCAAGTCTACTATTCCGATGATATCCCAGACGTCTGAACGAGATTAGAATGGCTCTCCAGCACCTTAAAAACGGCAGGGCCCCAGGCAAGGATAGAATTACAGCGGAGCTTCTGAAAGCGGGTGGAACACCAGTACTTAAAGTCCTTCACAAGCTCTCCAATTCCGTCCTCCATGGTGACACTACTCCGGAGGCGTGGAGCAGAAGTGCAGTGGTCTTGTTCTTCAAGAAAGGTGACAACGCTCTCTTAAAGAAGTACATACAGATTTCTCTTCTGAGTCGCGTCTATGTGTTGAAGTGTTTGTACAGTAGTGCTACGATGGCTAGCCGAGGACAGAACTAGAGTTCGAAACCTATCCAACTACAGAGAGTTGTAAGACAGGGTGACGTTATATCCCAGACACTTTTCAGACGTTTGAAAAGTTCTGGAAGACGTTTTCAAGCTACTTGACTAGAAAATGATACGGTATTTACATCAATGGCGAGTACATCACTCACCTACGATTTGCCGACGATATAGTCTTTATGGCAGAATCGCTGGAGGACCTGAGCGCTATGCTCAATGAACTCAACGGTGTCTCCCAACGGATAGGTCTTAACATGAACATGGGCAAAACAAAGATCATGTTTAATGTCCATGTCACACCTATGCCGGTAGTTGTTGGGAGCACTATGCTCGAAGTTGTTGACGAATACCTTTAACGTTTACCTAGTACAAATAGTCCGACTAGGTAAGTCCAACTTCGACCGAGAGATCAATCGACGGATTCAACTCGGCTGGGCAGCTTTCGGGAAATCACGACACATATTCTCGTCAGGTATACCTCAAACTATGAGAACTATATTGTATAACCAGTGTGTGTTGCCAGTGATGACTTACGGATCTGAGACGTGGTCCTTCACTGCTGGCCGTATGAGAATGCTCAAGGTCGTTCAAGGTCGCTCAAGGTCGTTCAAGGTCGCTCAGCGAGCTATGGAGAGGGCTATGCTCGGGGTTTCTCTGCGTGATAAACTCAGAAATGAGGATATCCGCAGTCGAACCAGAGTAACCGACATAGCCCAACGGATTTGTAAGTTGAAGTGGCAATGGGTCGGCCATATAGCCCGAAGAACCGATAACCAATGTTGAAAAAAGGTTTTCGAGTGGCAGCCTCGTACCGGTAAGCGTAGTGTAGGGCGACCCCCACTAGCTGGAGTGACAACCTGGTAAGACATGCAGGAAGTCGATGAATGCAGGTGGCTCAGGACCGTGCTTTGTGGAATTACTTGGGGGAGGCCTAAGTTCAGCAGTGGATTTGTGAAAGGCTTTAATGATGATGATGACCAACTTAGTCATATCGTACAGCGTCAATGGGTCTCTCTGCTTCTGTTTTTTTTTTTATTAGGGTTACATTATTTTTAAGTTTATTGGCTGAAACGCCTCTGTCAAACAAAAGTAGGCTTCGGTAAATTTCATATCTGAATTCTTTCAATGGCATTAATTTTGACTTATTTGATGCACCTCGCCGTTACATAAGCCAAGTATTATTAACTAATAAATCAAAGGTTTGCGAAAACAGAGGTAGATACCAGCGATGTCCCTTGAATTCTGTTCTGTGTAATGCAATAAGCATGTCCGCTAAATCCACGCCACCCATACTGAAATTGTACTCCTTTATCATTCGTGAACATGGTAGTGGTATTTTCTTTCTCAGTACTTTGTTATACTGTGTTTCAATTTGGAGAGGATATGAGTCTACGCATGTGCTTGCAACAGTGACGCATTTATTGTCGTACCACTTGGTTATAACAATCTTATTTTTGTTACTCACAACCTGAGTATGTGAACCTCTCTCTTTCTTTTTTAAGTTTTTTTCAGTAGGAAGTTTCTCCTGTGCTCCACGAAGTCGGTTGGATCTAACAGTTCCCAAAGAAAAAATACCGTATTCATTTCTCAGTCGGTGCATCAATTCAATTGAAGTACAGAAGTTGTCAAAGCACAAGATTTTGCAAGCAGGCTGGCAATTTGATTTGATTAGAGCAATGACATGACGTGGCTATGAAGTTATTATATTTTTGTATTCGTAAATTATGCCATATCTGGGTGACAAAGCTCACGTAATTTTTATTTATCCCTTTTTTATTATTATATGTTATATTAAAATATCAATAAGTTTTGTTCAAAGACCTAAAGGTGACGTTGGCAAGAAAAATACAATATACGTATGTACTACATGGCGGATTGAACGTCCTAAATTTTATAATGATTTCTTATATTTACGCGAACGTTACACTTTAAATAAAACTAATTTGACGGATTTTATAAAGTTTGAATATTTATTGTCACGCATCATGGTGCTGTAAAGTACCCTAACCGTCGGGAGTTTAAAAATTTAAAATTAAACGCGATGAAATCCGTAAAATTAGTTTCATTTAATGCCTAAATTTTAGTGATATTTATTATAATGATAATTAAACACGCAAATTGAAATAAATTAAAACATAGATAATGATAATAAACGTAATTTCCTTTTCACAGGTACAACTGGACTTCTACGGATTCGTAGCCTGGTCGCTTGTTCAACGATTCACTCTTCCGCTTTGCATCTTCCATCGTTTCCACTCGGCTGTTACTCTAGCCGAGATTTGGAAATCCAGTTACAAAGCACGATTGGAGTGAACATGAAATACTAAAATGGGTTCTGAATCCAACTTTAGCCATTCAAACCCTACATTAATTAGGGTGAATTCTATCGATTTCGTCCTAACTCGGGACAGGAATTTTATATTTAGAGCAAATTTGTTGCTAGATTTCAATTATCTCTTTCGTCGTAATAAAATAGTTTTAGGACTGGATTTAATACTTATAAAGTGTTTGGATAACACATTGATTGCTCTCCCGGAATCTATAACTAATGGCGTCATAACAGCAATATCTACTGCGCATGTCGATTTATTATGTTGGTTGTTTATCCTATCTTAATCATATTTTCTCGTTCTTACATTCCATGTTTTATTTTACCACTGCATGATACAAATGAGATTTTTCACAAGACTGACTGTGGAGACTTGAATCTGAAATCTATATCAAAGATAAAAATAAAAACAATACATAATTTTATTAAATAATACGTAAATTTGTTTGCTCATGTCTTGAAACTTCTTCTAATTCTAATGGAACATTTAGATAATTACCTTTTTCAAAATAAGCTAAAGTCAGCTAAACGAAAACAGATAAACGAGTGATTCCCAGTTGTGAAGTGTTCCCTCCTTTGTTAGAGATAATTTTTGTGCCATGGTTTTAGGGTAAGATTTGACACAAATTGACAATATTTTACATTTCTTTTTTATCAGATATCTGGTGAAAGTGGGACGCAGCACAGCTAAAATAATAATATATTTATTTAAATATACAGTGTGTATCTGATACTTCCAATTCGTAGTGTTTTAATGATAGAATATCGCTATATATTTACTTTTCAGAAGATTTATTGGCCAACATATTATTTGAGATAAGCAAGTGGAATTCTAAGAAAAATTCAATAGGTATGTACGAATATAGGTACTTTAGATATTAGATTACATTCGAAATATATGATTATATCGATTTTAATGTACTTAAAAGTAGAGAGGTACAATAATACGTGAAAATTAGATCGCAGTAAACTGCTTGCTACAGAGTAATTCAATATTATTACAGTTGTCTTACATTTTAAATTGCAAGGGGCCATAAAAATGTTAATAACTGCATCGCACACCTCTTTAGCGCTAATATTTAATTAGCAAATTCACGAATAATATACTATACGTTATTTAAAGTTAGCTATTGTAGTTAAAAAACTAGAATTGTGACGAATTAAAATTGGTGTATTTATATATATCGTCATGAAGAAAGTGGCTACTTTATTCATGACAATTTGAAATTTTTGATATTTCTCTAAATATTGATAAGTTAAAAAATCGTTGATCACTTAACTGTGTTGCATTAAACACTTCATTGCAAATATTTTCGTAACAGTAATTTGTGCAATCTATTTTTATAAGCTGTCTAATTTTACATTCTAAGCTAGTACCGGTTTGTATGGTACAATAATTATGGGCGCACTACGCGTAATATCATTTCTATGTTATGAATTTTGTATAATACTATAGTTCATAAAATTATTTAAAATATATTTATTATTTTGTAATTAACAATAAGGTAAAAACGTAATTTATTGATTCAGAGGGTTATGTGTGCTTATCGTGAGATTTTGAGTGATTGTAGATGAAGTTTTTTGACTGGTTTATTATTATATTTTAATGTTAAAATTAATTCTTAATAAATAAAATATACCTTAGAATCAAACAATGCGCAGTAATTGTATTGATTTTATAAGGCGGCAACATCGTTTGAAAAGTATTCCGTGAACCAAATAGCATGTGAGGTTTGATTATCACTGCCGTTAAAATTAACAACATATTATTAAAATAAGCCCTTTGATAAACCTATACTATTTCTAACTTGTTCAATTTTGTAGGTGAATTTACTGTGTAACTAAATGTTTGGAAAAAAATGTACCGAAATTTGTAACATTAGGTTTAACATAATTATAATTATTCAATCAGTGTTAAATAGATACCAAAAATTAAAATTTTGGAAAATCTAAATTATAAAATGTAATTAATATAAATGTCTATTTAAATAAACTTAATAATACGAATGTTTATCTGTTTCTACTTATTTATACATTTAAGTTAAATAATATTACATAATCCAGTGCAGTACCGTGGCATGATTTGATGCCGCCTGGGCCCGTTTGAGTCAAAAAAACCATAGTCCATCAAGTCCTTCTCTCCTTGCTACGCCATTGATTCATGACTACGTAAGAAAAATAATTCTATAAAAAAAACGAATGTGTAAACTTACTGTAGGTAATGTAATTTAAATTCGAAGCACTCATGGTTCAGAAACATGCTTAGGTACCTTCTTCTTTATCATGCTCCAGCAGCTGACTGTACTGGACATAGACTTTTTCTAGGGAAGTGGTGCTCCTGGAACTACCACGCTTGGCAGGCAGATTTACAGCGTCGGATGTCTAACAAACACTATTTTTGTTCATTTTGGCGTTTTATATGAGATTGTTACAAATCCATTAATCGTTTCATCATTCATTTCATGATCCTTTAGGACAACTAATGGGCGAAACGAATGAAGGTGTGTTATACAGATAACTTAAAATAATAAACGATCTGTATTAATACTGTTTCCAGTGCAAAATATACTTAGTGCTAAAGAACCGGTGTCATCTAATACAGCTGTACATCTATGATATTTCTATATACATCAAATTTTATACTTACATAATATGAATAAAATTGAAGTGTCTATCCAAGGTAAGTTTTGGGAAAGCTAAATAGATTGCGTCTAAAATTTTAAAAAACAGATGGCAAGCAATGCCAGAATATTTTTTTTGTAAAATCATCGCATAAATCTACGATATGTAGCAATCAATTTCATCAACGCTGCTTTTCTGGTCAAAAATAAGAAAGTTAAAAAGTGGTCCTGTTCCTACTATGTGCTAACGTACCAACATGGGTAAAAAAAGCAATAGCCTTTTAAATTGTTCAGATTACCTATTTGTTTTGCTTGTCAAATTAAACAATAACGATAGTTTGTTCATATTGAGTTTTCAATTTTATGAAAACTAATTTGATGTATCTAAGACTACTCAGAGTATAATAATTGAAATCATCTGACATACCTCTATGAAAGATAGTGAAATAAATAATGAAAGTTATAATTTTTCTGCTGAAAATGGGTATTTCAAAATACGTAGTACATAAATTTTGTATTACATTCCTAATAATAAAATGATATTCTTAATATCTTACTACATTTATTAAGAATTGCCTAGATAAAATAATTGTATGAAAGTTGAATTATTCTTCTCTATTATACTATTGTTAAATAAGATTATATGTTAGATTGCCCTTGCACCACGTAAGTTATGTGAAATAAGTTTGCCTTGTCTATTTAATTTGTTTGAATTCCAGGTTGAACTGCATCTTCCACATAGATAATTTATATATCAGTGGTATTGGAGTGGCACCAAGAAATAGGGAAATGTTAAAAACAATATTCAAACTAAACAGAAGAATAATAGATAAGAAAAAAGTTAAAAAGATAATATACATGCTCAAAAAAAGTATAGAATCTAAAATAATTCAACATATGTATTATATTTCTACTAGCTTACCAGACAGACGTTGTTCTGCCCTTTTCGACTATCATTTTTGTCATGCCCTACTAAAAATCCTTAAATACACAAAGAGAAATTGTGGGTGGGACCAAACTGCACACGGTGTGCAAATTTGATTAAAAAAGTTTAGGAGTCCATCGCGGACAAACAATGTGACATGTAATTTATATATATTAAGATAATACAAATTCTCTGCAACTTCAAAATATATTATCTTCTTTGCCATGAATATAAGAAAAAGAAATATTGTTTTGCAATATAATTAAAGGTTTGTAAAAGTTTGAAAACAAACATAAGTGTAGAGATTATTATGCAGTACACATTCTCAACATAATGATGTAAAATCGTTAATATACATATTATTTTTTCGCATCTCGGGATGATCAGGATTCGATAAACAATCAAAAGTTCTTATAAGTAAAATTGATCATTGAGAAGTTTTTACCGTCAAGTTTTACTGTCTGATACGGATTGCTGTATGCGAACACATCAAATTGGTTTGATAAAAAATTATTTGGTTTGATTGTTTTGATATGTTTAGGCTACTGTAGTTCGAACTTAGAAACATTATTATTAGGCGTTAGTATTTTTTTTTATTTTCTTAGAAATATTGTATTTAAAAATATATTATATGTCCTAACATTTCCTTTATAGGGTTTGCATTACTTTGCATAGGTACACGAAATTGTGATTGCAATGCTGTAAGAATCAAATCAGAAATTTCATCCAAAAGTATCTTTTAATATTCTGCCTGTAGCGAAATTTCACTTCGTATATTCTTTATACCTTCATCACATTCCAACATGCATGTGTTCAAAGTACGAAGGTAAAGAGCTGAGCTACGCGAACAGAATTATTAGAAAAAACCGAAAATATAAATGAATCCCTATGCCTTACCAACCCGTCTGGCTTATAGTAAGATAGGCGTATAATGTGCAACAAAAAATATGTACCTATAAAACAAACCTGGTTAAATACATTTTCAGGAAATCTTGTAAGTTTTCAATCTGAAAACATATATAAAATAGGAAAGGATAATATAAATATGACGTACAGTATCTTTCATAATGTCACATTTTATTTAACATTTATTTTGATCGATATCAATAAATTATTACGGTAACCTTGGATCACACCAGGTATTTTGCGATGCATAAGAAACCGTAATAAGCTTCAAAAATAAGCACGTAATGAGCCTTACAATAACAAAATCACAATCACATACCGGAGGTAGTATAGAAATTACTGAAACAATCTTATTAAAAAGTTAAAAAGAGACTATGAAAGAGAGTTGTTGGCTAAATCGGTCAAAAATAACAAACAATTATGGAAAAATATCAAAACCATTACTCACACTAATAAGCTCAAGACTTTAAATACAGAACTTCTCAATGTTTCTGATAACCCGATAGCTTCTACAAACTCTGTAAATAACTAT